AAATAAAAAAAATATCTTTTTTTTTATGATATTCATATATGACATTAATATTAACCTCATAAAAAAATCTAGTTTCATATAGTTAACGAAATACTAGCGAAAAAATGATTAGATTAATTATACTAGCTGTAATAAATATTAGATATGTTTCCTGTGTCACTGTCATATCGTTCCCACATTGCACGATTGTCCATCTCAATTATCATGCACGAGAACGCGATGTAATTATCCGTTATCCATCTCTCGCCCATCGTGATCCCTACGGAAAAACTTTCTCGGGGCGAGGTAATTGTGGTCTTCGTGCGGGTGAGACGAGAATTGACGCGACATCCGGGCGACGAGATGGCACGTTGGTGGAATAGAAATGGCAAAATAAAACGAGAGCCGCGAGAGATCAAGGTCACCGGCAGCGAACGGAGCCAATTAGCTAGCCATAGACTCGATTAGCTAGCCGGCGGAAGCTCCGGACTGGCAAAACTACGCGTATAACGGGCTGAAGGATATACAGGCACCGTAAGTACTATACTTAAGCGGATAACCGAGTGCTTGTGTCCATTAACGTCTCTACTGCCGGTCGCTGATACTTTCCGAGATACTTTTCCGCCTTTTCCTCTCCCGCTTGCCTTGCACGTGATCCGCGCGCGAGGCGAGTGGAGAAATAGATAGAAAGAGAAAGAAAAAGAGGGAAGGAGAGAGAGAGAGAGAGAGAGAGGCTCGCTACGAATTCATCCTAGTTTGTAACGGTATTCGCTTCTGTTGAATATGCACCGCCTACACGCCCGATTTTTTTGCACCGGCGAACTTCGACCTGACACCGTACGGTAGCACTGTAAGCTCCGTTCTCCAACAACGGTTTCAAGAACGGTGAATAAACTTCTCATAAATAAGTTTGCGTTAGAATCTTTTCATATCCATACTCGAAGAAATAAGCAGGCAAATATCCATTCTTAATTTCGTTCTCGCGATATACCTACTCTTTTGTGGAAATATTGGAAAATGTTATTGGGTCGACTTATTTCGTTGCAGTCTCTTTTTATAAATGGTCGCACACACATATCTGAATACATGTCGCTTAAAGATTAAGAACAAGTCGGCTAGGAAAGTTCATAACAACCGTAATCTCTTCTTACTATAAAAAGAAGTAAAGTAATCGTGGCTGTAGAGGATAATAACTTACAATTAATTGAGATAGGTGTTTAGACAAACTCGTAGAATAATTGCTACCGGTTTCGTTGGATACTGTCGGCATGCAACACGATGGTACTCGATTTACAGCTTTACCGTTTACTCTTACTACTTGTCAGAGCTAGTTTCCCGCGTAAGTAAAAGCATCGATAAACACGTAAGGCGGCTTTCATTAGATACACCAGGGGATGGTCTCTCTTTCTCCCTCTTTCCAGTAGAATAGCGCATATAGTACGGGAATCGTAATTCTGCTCGTGAGGATTCCGCAAGAAGTCCGTGCCATCCCGGTTCGAGGATCATGGCTTTGTCCGGCGAATAATGGCAGAGCAAACGGGAGGCGTTCGTCGGAATTAAAACGTGAGCCTGTGGATGTTCGATAGTCCCGAGCGAAGAGGGCTGCTGTACAAAGAATTCCTCTTTCTTTTCTCCCCTTCACTCTTTACAACTGTCCCTTGCCGAGAAAATCCGCAGAGAATCTCTTAGAGTTGTACACACATGTGACGATATCAGATGAAGAGTAAATAGAGATCCAACAATTTAAATCTTTAGTTAAAGATTAAAGCGATCCTTAGACGATCAATATTATTGCACAATATTTTTTTGATGTAGCACAATATTATTTATCATCTGGAGGATACGTTGAGTCTCCAGACTGTTTGTTTTAAATTGTTTAATAGAGAGGTTTCTTTAAAATCATTCAAAATAATTGTACAATAGTATTGAATGTCTAGAGGTTACATTATGTAGTGCTTCGTTATTATTCATCAAATTTTTTCTTGTTATTTTTTTTGTTGCGAAAATAGGAGGTATTTCTACGTAAACATCTTTAATCTTAGTGCAACATATATTCAGATCTGTGATAAATTGTTTAGAGTTCGATTAAACAATTGAAGAGAACTTCAATCAAGAATATCGACTATCATTAGTCACAAATGTATCACGTAACTTATCAAGAAGGATAATTTTAGAAAAGCAAACAACTATCACAAAAATAATGTAGGGCGCGCTAAAAGAAGAGCTAAAACGTTCTTTATCAAAAGTAAGTCGAAACAACCTGACTTCGTTTGTCTTAATCTAAGAATACATAGCGCGGCAAGAAAGAACGAATCCGCGAGCGATGATCGTTAACTATCCTTAGCACCAAATCTTCTCCATTTCCATTAGAAGGAAGTCTTTCCTCTCTCCTTTCCCCGCGAACGAGAAACGGGCTAATCTCTCGAGGGGTTAAGCGATCGCTTATAGCGATTTTCCTAACCCTCCTTGCGAGATCCCTCGCAGTCCAACACCCTTTCCGTTCTCTCCTCTCTACATCCCTTACTCGCAACGTGCGAGTCCGTGAGAGCGACGATCTATCACCATCATCCGAGATTGAGACTTTGCGCTTTCGACGAAAACAAACTGCCGCGTCGTACGCCATATTGCCGGCTGCTTTATATTCGCCGATCCTTCGTGAGCAACGAAAGCGAACTATACTGCTCCACGTCGTAACGCGTCACGTGCGTACGTCATTACGCCTCCTCTTTCACTAAGGAAACGGCGCGACGCCTTTCTCGCGAACGTGTTGAAAGTCATCGGTTCCCCTTTCCCGGGAGATGCATACGACATCGCAATGCTCGCCGAAATATTGCGATACGTGATCTTTCTACTCCAGGAACGCTAATACACGCGATATACAAGGTATATGGAATATACACTGGATATTTTTTTCAGATATTCGCAGATTTTGCGAATATATGGCTTAGAATTTATTCCAAGATCGGTATTCATAGTCGGTTTTTTCAAGATCACCTTAAATAATATCTTAACATCGTAATAAACAAGCTGACGTTAGTTAATTAGTCGTCATTTTGACATTAAAGATGTCATTTTTACATCAAAACGATAAATAACGTCAGATTGTTTGTTGGAATGCTAATATAACTCTGTAATTGGCTTGATATCTTAGCTGTTCTCTAATAAAAATGCAGTTTTCTTAAACATCCATTAAATTACTATCTGTAGTATTACTGGGTTCTATAAAAATTTGATAAAAATTCTATTCAGTAGCTGAAGCAGTTTTTCTGATAAAAATATGTGCAACCTATTTAGACCTGCTCAATTATTTTTTAGTACTGATAGATTATTATTAGTTAAAATACTGTATCTATTTTTATTCAGTAAATGGATCCAGATTTTGTGTATTTTTTGAGCGCAGTAGTTGCAGGCAAAGCGTTATATCTCGATTGAGATCCTAAGAAATTTTATTATACTTCTCAGATAATTAAATAGAGTTATGTTGACCAGTAACTGCTAAAAAAATGTATGAAATTTCTACCTCTAGGATTAATTTTTTACTTTTACAAGTATACAAAAATTATTAAGTGAGTCTCACATATATTTTAATATGTTTAGAAAATATTTGTAAAGTTCTCTGTATTAAAAAATTGTATATAAATGTTGTAGCATCAGGATTAGTAAAGAAATGCACAAAACACAAATAGACTATCCTTAAGTCTGATGGTCTTATCAGATGGTCTTAAATACATATAAAAATTGACGATATAAATACCGGTCTATAACTAATTGCAAGATTAAAGTGACAGCCATCTTTATTGAGTTTATGTTCAATATTATGATTAAAGAGAAATATCGTATTTTTTATTGAGATACCCCAATATGCTGATGTGAAGGGCGACGGAATTCGTCGTAAAAAATGATCGCAATTTCGATTTAGCAGTCTCGCTTGTATGTGCTCAACATGCTAACATAGGGATTATAATATGAAAATATAATAAGCGGTAAAAAATAGGAGCGATAAATTATATCTTGTGTTTCAAATTTCATTCACAGCATTAATTTTTTATATTAATATGAAGTGCTGGCAGTTTCGAAATAATATTTCTAAATGTCTTCAAGATAATCCTTGGATATTAGATATAAATAGGTATCATTCGCTCGGTTATAAATTTAAACGCTAACAAAATTAGTGCACGCGCAACACGGAGAACCTGCCCGTTGCCGGTCAATTAATTCAGGAAGCTGCTTTTAATCGTTAACCAGGCCGACGAGGGAGCATTCTCGGTCGAGGAAGCGCGCGAGGAAGGATCCTCGCGAGTGTAATTCCGCTCGTAATAAACAGGAACACGCGTCGTTATCGACACGGTGCGATCGCACGAAACGGGCCGGACGAGAGAGTGAGCTCTCCAGGGTCGCGATCGCAAATGTTCCCTCGTGTGTAATACGCCGGACGATTTCTTTATTTAAACGATACGGCCGGCCAACGCCGTACATCACCGCGGCCAACTGGAAAAAAAGGCACGACACGTCGTGCGGTTGAATATTATTAGACCGTGGAGAAGAAAACGGACGCGGGTAAATGATCGCGCTCGGCAGATCCTCGTAAGATTGTTGCATCTCAAATGCAATTTATACCGTTCGTAGAAACACGACCGTGGACGAACATCATAAGTTAAATGCGAGTTGAAGTCCTTTTATAAAGTATCTTCATTTCCTTTCATTTAATTTTTCTGATCAGATCAGCATGGGGTTCTTCTTGGCATAAATTTGATCGTATCTTCTCCCATCTTTTGCTAATATTCAACGTTAAATATCTTGTAATTCTCGAATTAAAACTTCTCCCTTATGATTTTAGATAAAATTTCCGTTTTGTAACAAAAATGTAAATTTTTCATTAATTGTTTCTATATGTACATATATTTGCTGTAGAGAAGTTTAAAAAGCTTCGCATAGACCATTCACGGGTTTGCATGGACCATTCACAGAGAAAGATCGCCTGAAAATTCGCGCGCAACGCGACTAAAGTACGAGTGACTCACCGGTGAACGACTCCTTTCGAGTGCATGTGCTTGAGAGCGGCGACCAGCTGTCTGGCATAGAGCCTCGCCGTGTTCTCGTCCAGTTTACCGGCCGGCTGCTCCTTAATGTGTGTGCACAGGTCGCCGCCGGTCGCGAGTTCCGTCACGAGATAGTACACAGATCCGCACTGCAAGCAGTCGTTAAATTAAACCGTTATCGATTCACGTCGATAACGCGTCTATCATAGGAGCTTGGAGGTACAACAACATGGGGATTCTACGTTTGGGCTTTTAAGTTCTTAGATGCTCGCGGTGCCGTCTTTGATATCAGATTCTTAAATCTATACAATCCCGATGTATTTGAATTTCAATATTGTAGATACAAAAGATACGTCTTATGTCAGACATATCTTGTAGAAATCTGAATTCATTGAAATTACAAATATCAAAATTTCAAAGTAACAATATGAAAAATTTGCGGGCTATGAATTTTACTTGTACTTAATTATTTCTAGATAGGATGCAATTGAAATTCACAATTGAATCGGTTATTTTAGAAACCTTAAGTTAATTTTTGTCAAAAATGAGGAGATATTAGGGAAAGTAAATATATAGTTTATTTAAAAAATCACATTAATCAAGTATTTCTTTCGCAGATATCGGATTTACAAAACTATCATTTACATGAGAAACCGTGACTTATATCATGATTTATGTTTTTCTGGCATTATATTTTGTAAAAATACTTTCAATAATGAATCATTTTAACATATTGGAATTTGATGTCATAAGTTTACTGTTTTTTATAAATTATGTATATTTTTCAATAATAACATTAAATATTATAGCTTTTTTGGGGTTATAACTTGTTTTATAACATCTTTAGAAGTAATTACATTTGCAGAATTTTCTACTAGCTCTCTATTAACAACTAGTTGGACTTGGAAGGCACAATTGATTTTTTAATTGTAGATTCTAATAGACAAATTTAAATCTCTAGAAAAATGAAGTACAGTCCAACTTCTATTAAACTTTTATTAAACTAGACCATTTTTCAATTCTCTAAAAGTTACACTTATATGGTTTCTGAAATGATCGACTTAATTATATTATAATTTACAAGTAAATTGCACATCCCAACAAAAAGAAAGCAGTTTATGAAGGATAATTCACGATGATACGCTTTAAATTTATTAAATAACGTTAATACACCGTGTATAATCTTCTCTCATCTTTTTATTTCGTGCGGCCCGGTGCCGAAGTACGGCCATACATTTTAGTCGCTGCTGAAAACGGAGCAACAAAGCACATCGAGCTGGGGAGAATCTGCTCCCGACTGGGACTGGTCACGCGAAATTAATCACGTGCATTTAAAATGCATCACGAGGTGGAGGCGCATCGTAATTATCGAGAAAGCGTTTCCCGAATTTCGCGCGCGATCGCGAAACACGTGCGTGGGCTTCGTCGATTAAGCGATTACCTTAATGCAACAATATGCATGCGGCGACGTCAGGGGAGCGACGCGTTCACGCGTGGCCGACGAGTTACGATCGGAGCGATTCGTTGCGCCTGGCCAATGGCGAGTCGGTGTCCCCCGAATGCTGATGATTATTTCATTCTTTAGGACTGGTCGTATCGGCATATTCAGCATAGCCTGATGCTTTAATTATGAATAACGTGGATCACGAGAACCGAATAAATTTCACACGCACGTATTAACGATCAAATGTTAAGCACGAGATCGGACGGGACGAGATTTTCAATTTGTCTTTTTTCTTTCGCTGACCACTACGCTAGTTATTCCAAGAACTTCATTAATCGTTTAAGCAGTTATCATCAGTTATATTAAGCAGTTATTTGACGGTACTGGTTCGCGGTATCATATGCATATGTATAATAGTAGTTTGCCATAAATGCCAGAAGCGTCTATTTCGCCGGTACTGGTAGAATAAATCTCAGAGACGTCTAATCAAATGATACTGATTAAAATAAATATCAAAAGCGTTTGTCCTGACTGTGTAATGGCAAAATAAACGCCAGAAGCGTACATTGTAATCATGTAAAATCTGGACCTTTCAAGGCTTGTAGCGCAGAAACGACTCATAAGATCAAGTTGAGCCCATTGAGACATTTGTTCAGAATAAAGAGAACTACGACATATCCAAAAATTAGCCAAATCCGCAGAAAGATATTTTCCATAAGATTAGTGTGGAGTCCTTTAAAAAAAAATATTACTTCGCTTAATTTAAGTTTTACTCTACACTATATTCTGTTTGGTGTACTGAAGACGTTCGAAGGGAAACTTGGCTGATAGAAACTAAACGAGAATTTCTGGGAGTTTGGAAATCACTTGCGAAGTCAATTCATCAGAGATGCACACCGCTCTATCCCACTTGGCTAGGATCACCGTTTCGTTTTGACGAGGACTTGTACATACAGTGCTTGCCAACCAAATCAACTGAAGTTAGGGTGGAACGTGAGATACCCGATTTCGATATATCATCGGGTAGGAGTTAAAATAGGAACGTAAATTCGGTGTATGTAAATAAGGGATAGGCACGACCGAAAAGCCGAGATGGGAAAGGAGCCGAACGTGGAAGTCATTTGCGAAACAAGAAGCGTATGGAGCTTCGCTTTCGCAACTCGTGCCAAAAAGCTGTGCATCAGTTATAAGATCCTATTCCCGAGTGGAATTTAAAGCGGATTTTTCCTTAGCGCGAATTTAACATTTGTATCCCTCGATTCTACGATCTGACAGAATCTCTGGATCATTTCCATCGATCACTTGAATCGTCATCTTTCCCCGAAAGTTGTTTACAAAGTAAACGCGGACCGTCATCACAAGTTTTGCAACTCCGACTTTCCTACGTAATACTCTATTGTTTTTTTACACTGAAAAAAAAAACTAAATTTTAATAAATAATTTGTATACAGTGCAATTAAATATTTGAAATGAATGAACGTAAAAATATATTTATTTAATAGAGAAATTATTAATTTGATTTGACCATTCCTTTTATTGAGTAAATATTTATTTACTGTAGAAGAAAAGATTTAGTTGGCACAAAAAATTCAAATAAATGTTTATTAAAATTTAAAATATTTTTTCTTAGTGTAATATATTAGCACAATCGATTTCCTGATCTTGCATTCGGACAGATTGCTTTATAACAAGATGAAAATAAATTTACTCGAATTGTTTCTGCGGTATTATCTAAAATGACATCATAGACTTACAACGAGGCAATTTCGACTCGTATAACCAACTGAAAATGCGGTTGTCGACGCGTATATTTTTATAGCGATTTCGTCTCCCGAACAAGGGGAACGTCGGCGTCGTCGAACATCAGTAACGGCCAGTCCTACGCCGATTCGTCGACTCGTAACATCGGTACCGACATAAAATCGCGCGAGCGGCACGTTTACGGCCGCTGTCGGCCGACAATAATGACCTTAATTGGCGCTTAAAGCGGCTTTCTTCCAATATCCTGAGCATGAGTAACGCGTTGACCGCTGGACATGCATCTTCGTAAAAATCGACAGCCACGTGTGCGCTTTCTTATTACACAGAATGATTCAGAACGGTATATCCTATACTTTAAGTTACAAATATATACGAATAATTTAAAAAAATCCATTTTTTTATATTGATTGTTGTAATTACTAATATTATAATTGGGACATGTGCAATTTTAATTGGGTTAAACTTAGATAGAATAATTTTTTTTGAAATAGAAATAAAATATTGAGATGAGATTTTGTGGATGTTAATTTTTAAGCAAAAAAATTGAAAATGTTATCATGATGGGAGGGGGAAACATGCAATTAATAGTAAATAAGCTTTGTTTCTCTAAAAAGTTTTATGGGCGGAAATCTCAAATTGCTGTGTGTATATATATGTTACGGATAATAAAATAAACTATCTAATAGTGACCAGGCAGGAAAATATCGATAAACTGTAAACGCCATGGTTTTGCCTAAAATGTTGGGTACTGCAAAGTACGGTTTTACACTGGCACTGCAATAACCGCAACTTTACGACACAAAAAATGGTCGCCGATACATTGTCCTCGCGGAGTATGAAATTTTGTTGCGCTGCTACGTTATGTTCTATCGTAAATTTACGGTAAATTGACATTTTTTTTATCACTGCACTTCGCGTATATCATAAATTTGAAAGTATGTATATTTCTTATATTTCATCGTGTGTATATTAATATATATATATATAGGATTTTAAAAAATTAGGATGAATTGAGTCAAAATTTACTACTATACTCCAATTTACTAAAAATCTTGACGTGCTACATAAATTCTACCAACACCCATCGTATTCGGCGTGAAAAAAAATCTTTGAGGTATGTAGATTATGGCACTTCGGAGAGAAAAAAGTAACTTTTTGTCGAACAGTGTAATTAATACAAGGAAAAGTGGCTATTTGCATATTCAATGACTCCTGGCAGTATCATTATTCATCGTTTGAAAATGGTTGAAGTCATGTCACCGGCAGGCGACCCTAAGAAAAGTGACTGGCCTGGAAAACGACTATACTTTACGACCTGCATGCAGGCGCAGATGCTCCAAAGAATCTAGCGAAATCGGCAGTAATGTGCCGATACCCTAGGCGAGCCTCTACCATCGTAAAGATTACGACGTGGAAATGAGATATAAGGCGACGTCATATATAGCCAATTTAGCGACGGCAAGAAAGACGAGGCGGGATCTCGTCTCGATATTATCATATTTGCCGTCAGGTGCGAGCATTCTCATCGCCGATAGCTCTTCCCCTTCGGGATAGCTTAAATAAAACAGGACGCACTCCTCTATCCGAGCGTTTTACAAACGCACGTGGAAAGTAATACCATCTGCAGACTATAAAATCATTTCCGCCGAGAGAGAAGAATCGAACGGTGCAATCGCAAAACTCGTTTGTCCATTTATGAAAGCTCGCGGGAACGATCGTTTTTCTAAGGGATATATTTGCACTCTACGTTCCTTCAAGTATTCAAATGTTTCCTCGTATCGCGAAATGCAACTACAAACTATCTATTCCCGGAGGACGGTTTTAAATAGACATGAATAAAGGCGCTCTGTGTAATTGAGATAAATTGGCTTGCCTCAACTTCGTAGTAATGGTTTGTTTAGATTGATTTAACTCAATTTAGAACAATTTTGCAGGTAAGAACTAAGAACGTAGATTTCACAAATGAACTATAACTCGTAAATTACAATTTTTTAGTCGCGTCGCGTGTTGAAAGGAAAATGAGACGTGCATCGGCTACCACATGCAGAGAATGATTCTAGCGACGTATCCAGCTTGAAAAATTTTACACGTCTCTCCGGTCGGACATCGGTAGGCCCACCCCAGCCACCCGTTCATCTCGCGCGGGAATATTTTGCAGAGCTTCGAAATTCTCGAATCTCGCACGCGGAGGAGAGACGGGGAAGAGCTATCGCGGCGGCGTGTGCGTTCCCGTCATATTTTCCTACGTACTTTATCTTTCCTGGCGCGTACACACCCTCGTCCTCGTAACTCGATCGTGACGAGCGAGCGCGCGGACTAACAAAATTTTCAGAGTAAACGAGGTGCGCGATGCTGCGCCGCCGGGAGAGCCTCTGATATCGACGTCCCACACATGAATTCAATTACGTCGTACAAGCATACGAGAGAGTCCTCTCCCCGGGCTTTTTTTTCCTCTCGCCCGTGTCCCCGCCCGTATACCTCCGGGTGGCGTGCGTGCGTATGCGTGCGTACGTATGCGCGTGCACGTGCGTCCCGCGAGTCCGCGTGTTGGGTCAACGTTCGCGTCCGTAGCAGCCAGGTCACGTACGATGCAACGCATTAATGGTACCGGTCCTGGGCTTCCTCTGTATCGACGCGAGAAAGGATCGTAACTCAAAATAATAATTTCCAAGTTTACACTCGTGAATTGAAACCGATTTAATTTCGGCGAAATCAATTTCTGACGCTTGTAGACGAAGATAAGCATTTATTTCATGAGGAACAAACATGGATTGTAATGCGTCTATAGTATGAGATTTGAGATCTATCAGACTCTATCTATAGTTGATTTCCATTTGTCTACATTACTGACAAAACTGATTGATAATATTCAGTGAAAATTGACCGAGTAATGTTCAACACAAATAAGCGAAAAAGACCGTATTCAGTCAAGGTAGATCTTGGAGTTCAATAATATTTTTTGTATGAATTTTATAAATTGTAAAAAGTATTATTGCGATCTCAATTTTGAAGTCAATTAGTTTAACACAAATAAGGGAAAAAGGCCATATTCGGTTAAGGTTTACAATTTTCATAAAAACTGTTTTTAGACATCAAGACCTGTCTTGATTGAATATGGCCTTCTTTCCATATTTATGCAAAACTGATAGACTTCAAAATCGTCATAAAAAAAATTATTTTTTGAATCCCAAATTTCTCGCGAAGCAAAACGATTAAAGAGTGAAAAGCTTGTCTACTTTGATACGCATCCAGCCTGCTTCATAAATTCAGCTAAATGGTGTGTTTAATTAAATCTAGAAAGATGGATCTCTCTCTCTCTCTCTCTCTCTCTCTCTCGGATGACGTTAAATTTCGGTCCCTGACATTGCCGAAATTTCAAGACGTTCACTATTTGTCATGGCGTTCTGACAAACGTCATGTACCGGGTGAGAATGGCGTGACCCAAAGTAGAATAGCGTAGAATCTACGAGGGATAGTATCTGTCACTAGGAGAGGGATGACGCGGGACGGAATGGGATAGTTTCCTTTTGACGGATAATAGATCGTTATGTAAGAGCACAATGGACATGGTTAAATCTTGTTGATCGACCGTGGTGAATCGTCTTTGTTATTAAGAACTCGATTAAACTTTCGACGCGGTTAATTAAAGTAAAGAAACTCGATCAATCGTCGAAATTTTCTAAACTGATTGCAACTCTAAAGCGTCTCTCACTCACCCGGATAGTTTCGTAGAGTCTGACGATGCTCGGATGCTGTAGCATTGACAAGACCTTCGCCTCCCTCGTCAGGTTCTTCATCACGTAATCCTTCTTGCCTTGCTCGACGTCTATTATCTTAATCGCCACCTGAAACAAGAAGCGGAGGGATTCACATAATTAATTGAGTGTGTAGTCGAACGAAGCTATTGTTGTGTAGGAAAATATATCAAAAGTACTTTCAGCACTTCTTTCTATCAAAATTTATTATTAAGATTCTTTATCTAAGATAAAACTTTAGGTCAATTTTTTATATTCCTGTATTAGACTGCATTAGAAATCTCTTTCACAAAAAATTAAACATATATCTATTTTAAAAAATGTCGGTGTGAATTTAATATCCCTCGTGTGGTGTCTATATAATTTTCACTATGTTGGTGTTAAATTAACACCAACGTTTTTGTGAATTTAAAACCCCTGGTGTTTATATCAACATCATCATGGTGTGGATATAACGTCATGAGTGTTAAATCCACATCATGTTGGTGTTACTTTAACACCAACACAGTGAGAATTATATAAATACTGCATGATGTTAAATTCACATCGCTATTTGTTAGAGTGTATCTCATTTTAAGTTCCGAAAATATACTAGTTCAACTAGAAAACAGCCTTTTTGAGAGATAGATTATATTTTTTATTTATTACATTGATATTTTTACATTGCATCTACCTGCACTGACAACGCATATATTAAAACTAATTCTCCAGTAAATTAAGATGTTACTGAAAGGTGAGTAAATAATTGGCATAAGAGTAAATGTGGAGGGTTGAAAAAAATTTTACGTCAATATAGCGCACCTCTTGGTTGAGTAAACGCTTTATTCGTGCGCACACGCACGCGGACCCTCTTCAGAGATATTTCTTCCCGAGCGAAAAAAAACGCGCGAGTTTATCCTCAGGGCTTTTAGGGATCAATCGCCCCGCATTCTCTCTTCGAATTGCTAGCACGTCAAACACCTTCCATATGCCTGCTTGAGGAGCAACGAGCCGCTTTTCCACGGTGCGGAGGGTAAAGGTGGCGAACAAGAGCGAAGACGAAAGAGGGGGAGTTATGGAGAAGACGGAAAGAAGAGATACCTTGGGATTCGCGCAAGCGAATAGGGCGCGCCTTCACAGTCCCCTCTCCCTTTGATGTGCCATAAAGGCCTGGAGGCGGTAATTCGCACGAACCTAAGCGATTGAAACGGTGGACTCTGCTGTACCCCTCGGCAACGAGGGTGCATAACGCAGGAAACTAATGCTAAATTATATCAACTGAAGGGTACGCGAGGACTTGTATCGCGACCGCAAAGGTTTTACGTCTGTCGTCTCCCGTTTGAAATTAAAGGCGTAGGCGGGTCAATCATGAAGAAAAAAATAATAATTAAGATAGCCAAAGAAACGAGTATAAAAATATTAAATTAAAGTAAATAATTCATTAAAAAACCGACAAATTTTTATAAATTACTTTTACTAAAGAATATAAAGTTTGCAGTGAGTTTGCTTTTAATATATATCAATAAAAAATTAAGGCTTGCAGGGCATCCGTTGCACTTAAACCGTCGGCATTTTCCATTTAATACTTCAACTCGTATCTCGAGAAGACTGTTGAAGAAACTTTCCGCGGTGGTTCATTCCGAGGAAGTCCCGAATCTTGCGTCCTCGAGTTTCCAAGTTACCCGGCAGCAGCGGGTCGCATATCATTAGCAGCGATGGCGCCGGCATCCTTTGATCTTCCCGCTCTTTCCGTATTGAGTGAGAAAGTGACACGAGTACGAGACGGAAGGTAGGAAAAGAACGGAAGAGAGAGAAGCAGAGGAAAAGAAGCGCTCCTGTTCCGGGACGTTCGCAATATGCAAAGCATATATAAGAAAAGAGAGAAAAAGAAAACGAGGGAGAAAGGGGGGGGGGGACAGAGAGAAGCGGGGGCGGGGATTCTTGCGTTGGACTCGAGGTACGTCTGACAGCCTCCCCAAATGATTTGTGGCGCTCTTCGCCAGATACAAGATACTAATTCTTTGGGTGCTGTCAGTCGACCAGCTACCGCTCGCCACTGTCGACTCTCTCTCTCTCTCTCTCTCTCTCTCTCTCTCTCTCTTTCCGCTGAGTTCCTCTGTTGGCTTATCTCTGTTTGCATTATGTTACAACTCAGTCGACTGACACAACGTTCCTCGTCCCATCGCTTCACATTATGATCGTCGCTTCTTTCTCTTTAAACGCTGTATTATGGTAGATCAATCTTGAGAGAGTCCAAGATAATGCTCGATAATGCGTCAGTATGCAAGAATGTTTCTAGGTGGCTGCGTATAGAAGAGCAGTCACAATTACGAATTTTATATATACATTTCTGTTGAGGGTCTCTTCCCCTTCATCCATTTGATTCTCTTTTCTATTGTTAGCTTATCTCTGTTTGCATTCTGTTACAGCTCAGTCAACTGATATTCCACCCTTCGTCCTGCCGCATGCCGCTTCTTCCTGTTTGGGCGTTGTAGAATATTGAATTGATCTTGGAAGTCGCGATAGTACGCCGAAATGCTACATACGTAAGTCACTTCAATATGAACTTCTACGTACAGATGTTTGGATCTCTCTCTACATCTCTAGAGCTTTTCTTAGCTTATCTCTTATCTTGTATTATGTTACAACTTAGTCAACTGACGCATCGCTTTTCATCTCATCGCTCTACGTTACCCATCATCGTTGCTGTAAACTTTTTGAACTATCGCGATATGACTGATCGATCCGCGGAATTGAAAGCAAACTGATATCGATACATTTTTTTAAAGCCTTCAGAAAACAAAGATTAAACGTTTCTATCTTAAGTACGAACTAGCAGTGGTTATATTCTTACATAAATTTAATATTGACCCATTTGATACTAAAAACAGTGATTAATTACTTATTTGAAGTATTAAAAGCACTGTTATTTAATGCTTTTAATATTCTAAACAAATTATCGATCATTTTTCGGTAATAAATTGGCCACTATTAGATTTCTGTAAGAGTATTAACCTTACAGAATCGGCTTTACGATTTAATGCACTATTAAATTTATTAATGTTAAATTATAGATATACAATTTGAGTTATTTTTAATAATTTTTATAGGTCGCCACTGCTCCTACTCAATATATCGTTAATTTAACTAAATAAAAAAAAACTGGAATAAAATAATTTTATTTAAAAAAAATGTATTGAATTTGTGTGTGTGTGTGTGTGGTTCAAATTTAGTTTATTATTTATTAAGTGCGTACATTAATATGAATATTGTTTACATTGAAGCTAACCACAGAAATGAACTGATTTACATTTTGACACCATGGAAGTTAAAAATAACAGAATGTTATTTAACTCGAGGAATTGGATTACCATTGCTCCTTTTAAATCTAAAGCGATGTCTACAATGAGACTTTAAGGCGTAAAACTTAAGCTTTAAGCCAGAAGAAGTTATCCAATCGTAGTCAATTTTTCTCCTCACATTCGACTATAATTAGTCAATTTTTTAAGGTTTTAAGTAAATTTTATGCATTCTAATCTTGTTGCATATACTGTTTAATAACGTGTAAAAAGATTAATAGTTAGTCGCTATTGTTTTTCCTGTTTTTCCCTTCACAAATCTTCGCGCTGTCATCGCAGTGTCTTACGCATAAATTCCTTCGCGCGAACAGTTTAGATATGTTTGAATTGCGAGAACGCCACGTGGATAATTCCCAAGCGTATTCATCGTGGCTTATATCGGTTAATGCGACGCAGAATCTTCTTTGAAGCCGAGATAAAATGGGGTCGAGCGACGACGCGGCTACGAAGAGACGCGAATAAAGTAGTTCTATTTGCGCGGACGAGAGAGCTGGGGACAAGCAGAGTCGCGGAGCCATAATAATGTTTGCGAAAGCCACATTAAGGTATCCATTTTAGAGATCGCTTACTAACGAATGTTTCTGCGTGGGTTGAGATATACGAGCGAGTCGCCGTACAGCTATACCCAGGGCTCGACCTGTCAAGATCTCCTGTGGAGGGTACAGGCGCGTATATCGCACCACCACCACCACCACTACGATGCGTTTCGTTTGCACGAATACACGCACATTTACGCATCTCCAGTATCCTGTATTCCGGATCCGCGGTACGAAGCCAGGATGCGAGATTGTCGCGTTATATCGTAAAGCTGCACGTGATGCTCAATTTCGAGATTAAAATCTGCTGTATGCTTCTTTAATTTCGAATAAATCAGAAGACAACATGGCATTTACAAGAGCAAGTCAAGGAGTAGAGGAACTTTTGTGATTTTTCAATGTAGAAAAGTATTAATCACAGATATATAAAATATAGTAAAGAAATTCGAATAGTATTCTACACTCAGGAGAATGTTTTGAGAGTTATGTATAACAAAAATATACACATCTTGAACTGTCAAGAGACAAGTCTTGTCAAGAGTCGTGTCTTGCGCCAAATTACGTGCAACAAACGCGAAATGGTAAAAATAGATACGTCTCATAATAACCGTTTCAAGCGTTTTCTGAAGCTCAATTAAAATCTATTTCAAAACCATGACAACACAATAGTTTTCGCATTCTAAGTATGTGAACTAAACTAATAATATTTAGTAGACCTTGTGCAATTAAATCCGTGGCTTAAAGACATTTTGATTTATCATGTTATTTTCATTATCGATAAAAATAAAATGTAAATACAAACAATAGTATTCTATAAAAAAATATTCATTTTCGTCGTTTAATTGATTTTGTCTTTTAGTGTACTTTATATAAAAATATCACAATTAGCTGATATAATATTAACAAATTGGTTATTAATAGCAAATTTTAGTTATAAAAAATATATTTACACACACACAGTCATTTTTATGAATAAAATTTTAAATGGTCCTATTATTCTATTTAAAGAGAATTATTAAAAATGTTTATTTAAGAGGCATAAAATTTATGTTTGATCCGAAAAATATTTATGGAAATTTATATACATGTAGCACCATTTTCCTTTATTTTTACAATCCGAGAGAAGTAAAATTGTGTGACTTTGATAAATTAAGAGAAAAATCAAATTAAGTTGCTACATTTTCTGCGCTTTAATCTCATTTTCCTAATTTATTAA